CCAAAACTGGCACATCCAGGCTTGATGATTAAGGTCTCAAGGGAACATTTAGTTAGGAACCAGAAGTATCAGGAGTTCTAGGTACACATCTGAGCAAATATGAGAGTTTAGTATGAACGAGGAGAACTAAATTCTGACACCTTCATCAGCCCCAGGCATTGGTGTTACCAACCACACCCCCTCTACCTGCCCTACCCTACACTGACTCCATCTGTTCCCCATACTACCTCTATAGTCTTCTCCTTGATTCTGCTCTGATCCTAGTCCAGATCTCATTTAAGGGCCACATAAGTAGGCTCAGCTTTCTTCCCCTACTGCCAGGTGAAGAGAAGACTGCTCTGTCAGGTGATGCTATGGTTTGATATGTGTGTTTCCTTGCTCAACCCAAAAGTTTCTTTTGTCTTTTTCCTCATCCCAGTTGTTCCTTCCCTTTGAACAGATTCTTTCCCTTTCACAGTATCTGTTGTATCTTCCAGATTTAACTACTCATTCAGGTTCTTATGCTAGTGAGACAATATGATGTTTGCACATGTGGGTCTGATTATTCCACTTAGAGTATGGTCTCTAAATCATTTTACCTATAAAAGCCATGAGTTTATCATTTTTGTAGCTGAGTACTCCATTGTGTAAAAATACCACGTCTTTTTTTTTAACCCATTTCTAAATCGATAAGCATTTGGATTGCTTCTAAGATTTAGGTAGGAAGGGGTAAAAATATTGAAAGGAGCAGTTCATGCTTAATTTTTTCTTCTTTTTAATTTCTTATAACTTTTTAAATCAATTTTATTTGTATGCATCTGGTAATCAAAGAAACTAACTTAAAGACATTATACAATAACAATTGTTAATTCTTATTATTTTGTTTAGTGAAATTCTGTATTGTTTTAACTTTTTAATATATTTTATTCTTTTTTAAAAAAAATTACCTATGATCCCAGTTTATAATATCAAGATGTGGAGACTTTTAGGATATAGTTAAATAAGTTCTAGGGAATGGACCTATTATTCTTTTTTTTTAGTATTATTCTTATGAAACAGCTTGAGGAGGCCACAGTTTTGGCTTTCTTTATCTTTTTATCTTTTCTACCACGTGAGAACATATACATGGTGTCCAGGAGGAGGAGAGGACAGACACAAACCCTCTGGAAGCTTGTGGGGTTCCCAGCCTCTGAACTACGAGAAATAAATCTGTATCACTTAGAAATGCTGCATCCTGTGGAGTCTGTTAAAACAGCAAAAACAGGGACAGCTGCACAGTTCTCTGTTGCTGTAAGGAACATGAGACTAGGTAGCCAGGACTCTGTGCTTATGTATAAGAATGAATGGAGATTCCATCCAAGGAAATCCCATTCCTGCCAGGCCATAAAGCCCATCACATTGGGCTCAGCTGTTCTCATCACATCCTCAGGTGTCTAACACTTCCCCAGCACCACCATTATCACAGTGGGGATAAAATTTGGACCCCTGAACCCTAGAGGATTTCCAAACCACAGCAGTCATCTTGTCTAATTAGGTTAATCATGGCCATGAGGTTTTTCAGAATTTCCTTAGTTTTGATGACCTGATAGTTTGGTACTTTTTTTGAGAGGTTGGCCTTGAACTCACTATGCTTAACTGGAAGATACATAGGCTAAGCCACATACAGGCCTTTCCCAGTTTTTTCCTTTAATCTATCCACTTTTCCTTCATTCATTCCTTTTGATTATTCTGTTTTAAGTGAATTTAAAGAATTGGTATGAATAGATTATCCTGGATTATACAGCCAGAACCAAAATGTCATCTCCAGTGTCCTATCTGACAGGCTGAAGGAAATTAAACATGGAAGAGAAAGCTTTGTAAAGACACAGAAATTGACTGGACCACAAGCTCAGAAAGCTGGAGGAGAAAAGTTCCATCTTTGGGTATTTGGAAGAGAGCAAGATCATGCCCACACCTTGATTCCAGCACACAGTGAAGTTCAGATTTGGAATTCATGCTTTGGGAAGTGTAGTTTTAGGCTAACAATGTGTAGAAAAATAATTTTCCTATAATTGAATGGTTTGGAAGATTCTGAGGTGATCAGATGACAGAGGCCAAGGAGGGGAAAAAGGACAGTGTGTAACAAGGATCTGAGAAGAACAATGTCACCAACCAGTCACCAACAATTGGTCCCTATCTGACTTGGGTGCCTCTGAATCCAATTCTCAAAAAGGCAAGGCACAGTCTTTAAGGAAGTGTGAGTTTCTAGGGCTAAAGCCCTAGACCTTCATTTAGAAGGAAAATCATCTTGTGTTTCCTTCCCTTCATTCTCAGAATCACTTGCATGTGTGGTCTGCTCTGAAGCAAAGTGGTGATCATGCTGGACAGAACTCACAGGGGCCAGGTATAGAAACCCAGAGGTGTACTAGCATTCCCAGTGTTTCAGCAACCTCAAGGGACCATCCTACAAGTTCAGCCTGGGTCTGCCAGCACTAGGTCCCCTCTTCCATACTACTTCTACACACTATTGGCACGTCTACTCTTGAGCCACTTACTCCTCATTTTCTCTAGTGCAAGTTTGGGTCAATTCCTTCCCACATCCACAGCCTGAGATTTTCTGGCTTTTGAACACAAGAACCCCTGGTGTGGAACTGATACCACTCAGAACGGGGCTCAGGAGCCCAGCCCTGACTTCTCCAAGGAAGGCTTCACCACCAAAGTATCATCAGCGATTGAAATCTCACTATCAATCCTGTAGTACATAGCAGACAGAACTAGAGTTGGTCTCATTATCCCTTCAGGACTAGTTCAAGGCCAATGAAGAAACAAACTGTCAGAGGAAACATGGGGACATGCACAAGTGTGAGGCATGCCAAGCATCACAGTGCTGGGCCGGGTAAAACCCTGTTTCTCCCCTGTTTCTTCCACCAGAGACCAAGTGGAAGGGAATAAGCAGGAACTAGAAACTTTTGTGTCTGTCAACTTGAGGACTGCAAGTCAGCGAATGTCTCAACAGATCAACACCATGGTCCAGCCATCTCCAAGCACCCTTCTCTGACTGGAATCTCTCTGGGTCAGGCACTATCTACATCTATTGTTGCGGGTGGGCACAGCTGGCACCTAGCTTATTTTTACTGAATTCTGATGTAGACTTCTGACACCATCTAATGTGTGGGGGTATTCAGATTTTTCTGTTACCTGGATGGGGCCAAGAAGGGCTAAGCTATCATTGCTTAGAAATATGCCTGTACCATATAAAGGTGATGTGTGTATGTGGAGTGGGAAGCCTTGGATATTTTAAAGCTACATTCCACTATGTGCTACCTATAAAGGGGAAGAAAGGCAGGAAGAATTCCTGAGTGTCTTGCTCACCTTGAGAAGTTGACACTGTGATAAGTGGGAGCAGGGGTGTGAGAGGCCAGACACAGTTTCAGCTATGTGAGTCCTCTTCCAGGAAGCCAGATTCCTGAAAGCTTCTTCTTCCATGTCACCTGGCTTTATAATGCACCCTTGGGTGGTCCTGACACCATCCTGGTTCAGAAAGCCCTCTGAATAGCATCAACGTGAACATGGGCCCACACCAGCATAGGTAATGAAAGGGCCACCAGCATATTAGGAGTTAGCAGATGGTCAGGGCCCACTTCTGCTTAGCCTCAACCTGAAATAGGCCAGCATATCTGCCCTCACCACCATGCACCTCCTATCTTGGTCATCATCTCCTAGCATCCAGAAGGGACTGGCAAGGTGGCAGAGGATTCCCCTTCTGACCCCTCCATTCCCTCCTGCTCCTCAGCCCTGATGAAGCCACTAATATGGGACCCACTGCAGGTGGCCATGTGCTGCCATCAGCTGTTGGCCTGTCAGTGCTGCTATTGGACCAGGCACCCCTCTGTGGCAGGGTTAAAGGCTGCTTTGGAGGTGGGCCCTGGCCTGGGACTAGAAATGCCCAGAAGAAGCAGGAGTGGATACAGAATCCTTCTGGTATGATGGCAGTGCTGGTAGCAGGGAAACATGGAGTTCTCTGTACCCCATGCTTCCTTTTTGCATCCTAACATCAGGCTCTGTTATGAAGCAGCAAGTTCTAGCAGTAATGTTCATGTGAGCCCACACTTTTCCTCCCCTTCCTCATGACCCAGGGCTAAGAAAGATTACACTTGGAAATCTATGGCATCATTTTATTTAGTGCACAAAGGGGTTTTGTAAGTGGGTGGATTTTGCAGTGTATGTAGGGTACGCAGCATGAACAGGAAGATTTTTAGATTCCCTCTGGCCTGATGTCCAGTGGGGCAGCCAGATGGAACCTTGCATAGAAGCTGTGTGTAGAACAGGAGTGCAGTCCAGGAGGCACCTGAGGGGGGAACATCAGATTAAAGATGCCTATGATTCAGGGGTGACAATGGGAAAAATAAAGGCATCCCTGAGACTCTAGCCCATTTAGGTGTGGCCACTTATGCAGGTCCCTGTGAAGCCATACTCACTGCTTCTTCAGTCATCAGATACACTTCTCTGTGGGAAGAAAGACAGAGCAGTCAGGTGTGTGTGTGTGTGTGTGTGTGTGTGTGTGTGTGTGTGTGTGTGATCTATGGCTTCCAGGACCCCTGCATTGCGCATAGTGGACTTGGGCCAAGTCTACCTCATGTGCTTGGGCAGCACAGCCTCAGGTCTATTTCCCTTCTGAGATTGACCACTCCTCATAAGGACAGTTTTGGGCCTGGGTGGAGTCCTCAGCCTAGACCAGGCCACTTGAAAATAAGGGCATCTCTATGTCAGGAATGCGCAAGCCCCAGGGAAGGAAGAGATGGCCTAGTGCAGCAAGTCCTGAGGTATGGAAGAGAAGGCCCAGGACAATATGACCCAAGGCATGGAGAGGAAATGACCCAGGATGTGGAAACCAAAAAAACCTTGACCTGTGCTTGAAATTGTCATTAGGTAGGCCTTGGTTAAAGTTTCACAGGAGAACATGGAGCCAGGGCTTCTGAGAACTCCAGATACCTGATTGGTAGCCACTAGCTCTCTAGTGACTAGAGCAGGGGACTGATTCCTTATTCTTCAACTTCCCTGGTGTGGGGGAGCATCATGTTGGACAGAGTCCACCTCCACTTCCCTACCCCTCTGTGAAGCTGGTAATTACCAATGGGCTCAAAGAAGATGATGTTGTCATCACTGAGGCCTAGAGACTTGGAAAATCTGATGAAGTGCTTCTTCACCCGAGAGTTCAACTCCTTGGTTCTCCCTGTGTCCATCAAAGCCAGTGAGGGGAGACAGAAAGACACTTTATATTATTTTTTACCTTGTTATATATTCCAGGATGGCCTTACCTTCATAATCCTCCTGCCTTATCTCCTCGACTGCTGGGATGACAGTTTGAGACCACTACCCCCAACAGTATTCCATAAATATTGTTTAATGACCAATGAGGTCCAGACACATTTTGAGGGCGGGGGGGGGACACTGGAAAGACCTCTTCCCTGAGGGACACTTCAAATAGAGAATTGAGGACAGGGGTTTTCTCACTTAATGGTGACCAGAGGCCAGATCTCTGAAGAATAGTGTGAGCACCTACCATAGAGTCTGGCCTGGAAGTACACCATGTTTTCAAACTTTACAACAGCATACATCATGGCGAACTGATTGTAGTCAGTAGTTGTCACACTTATGGTGTAGATATCTAATCCATCAGAAACTGTAGTGTGGATAGCAATGGTCATTCCCTCTGTCCAGAAGGATGTGACCATACCCTTCTTCCATAATCAGCCATCAGAGGTTTTAGCCATACAGAACAGCAACTCTGAATCCAAAGACTCGTTCAACACTCACGTGTCTTATTGTCTAGTGAGAACTGGCCAGGCTTCACATATGGGACAAATTTTAGGTTCTGTTGTATGCACTCATCATCCCTGTGGGAAAGAGATGGCAGTGTGGTGAGCAGGGAGCAGAAACAGATGTAGCACCTTAGGGTAGACAAAAGTAGCTCAGGGCTACTCAATAATTTGAAGCTCCCTTACAGCACCACCCATGACAGCCTTTCTAGCACTATGGCAGGTGCCTCATTCAGTGCTAGCTCTTCCCTCTCTGACCTTTGCTCAGACTGCTCAGAGGCAACTCCACTCTCCCTACAACATTCATTTCTCTTCTGCTACCTCACTGGGGAAGCCTATCCCACACACAGTCCCCAGGTACTGACCTCTGCTTTTGTCTCCTGCTCACCTTTCCCATCTCTCTTGCAACTTTCTCTGAGAACCCAGTCTGCTCCATGCCAAGCACAGCCCATAGCACTTGGGCTCCACCTGACCTCTTCACTGAGTCCATCCCTCTCTGTATCCTAAAGTCAACCCCCCCCCAGGACTGTCTTCCTTATAACCTAAAATCCTCAAATTCTCTCATTTCCATCCACCCAGTGATTCCTGCCAAAGCCAGCATCTAAGTACAGCTGCTCCAGGGAAGGTGAAAAAAACCATAAAGGTAAGGCTGGGAAATCTAGCTTGGCAGATTAAAGATTGGGTAGATGAGGACTTGGATTGCGGAGCCTTGGCTCATCTACTTGCAATGTATTTTGATTTTTTTCCTGAGATTGATTGGGCAAGGGATACCCTCCTCGCAGCACATCAGCCCTTGCTTGGGCAGACATGCTGGGAACTGGCTTTTTTTCTGTCTCTTGGGCTGAGGCTTTCTGACTGAGAGTGCACCAGACCCTGCTGTATTCCCACAAACTCCTTTTTATAGTGATAGTGCTGGTGGTATTGCTACTGTGCACTGAACAAACACCATTGCACTAACCTAATTCTCCACCATGTCATTTTTTTTTTTTTGGTTTAGTTTGTACTTTGAGACAGGAGCTCACTAGTTTACCTGGGCTCTCTTCTAAATTGTGGTCCTCCTGCCTCAGCCTCTCAAGCTGAGTCTGCCTTAATTCACTGTTTTACAAGACCTAAATGGAGAACCTTATGCGACACCCAGACTGGGTCAATATACATCCTCTCCCTTGAGAAGCCCTACTCTCTATCATGATTTCTACTGACTGTGTCTACATTACAGCCCCACATGAGTGTTGATGTAAAACCAGGAAAGAAGAGAGAGAATGAAGCAAGAAAGGAGAAATAGAAAGAGAGAAAAAGAGGAAGAGATGAACAAAAGAAAGAAGAAAAATGATTTAGAGCAGAGTACAAAGGTCAGTAGTAGTAGCCCTCAGTTTGGGCCACTCTTTTATGGGTTCTGGCTCTCAGACTCCCAAGAAGTAGCTGCTTCACCTGTATATGATCGTAGTGACATTGTAGCTCTGGTCATCTTCCAGCTCATAGGTGTCACTGTACATGGAATACTCATAACTGCTTCCTTTTCCTTTCCAAATGGCATTCCCAGCAATGCCTATACCGAACCACTTCCCCTGGAACTGTAAGACATTGATGAGAGCCAGAGCCTGCAGCCAGCCTCACTTCTACCCTTTCCCGGGGTGCCCTTCTTGGTATTTTTGGAAGCCCTCTGATCAGCAAGGCCTGGGAATGGGCTACTGGAAGGCTGTCAGGAACCGTGTCCTCCAGGTATCCTGGGTGAGGAGTCAGCCCTGAGTTGTCAGAAATGAAGTGGTCCTGGGCAAGTGGCTGGTGGGCCATCCTGAGCCTCGGTTTTCTTGTCTATATAGACACTAAAGATGCTCCGACCTAGCATACATGGGACTTGGTCACCCCAAATCCTCCTTCCACCTAAACTTGCCCCCTGAGTCTCTTTACTGTTTCAGCTTCACTTCATTATCCTTGTCCAACAGAGATACTCACCAGCTGCCTATCCAGAACCCTTACCTGGTCATCCTGGAAGTTTGGGTGCAGGGGTATCTTGCACAGAGGTGGTTCAGGGATCAAGGCTGGAGGGATGTACTTGGCTTGGATGTGCAGGGTCCCCAACAGAGTGAGGCCTAGATACAGTAGACCCAGACCCATGGCTTTAAGGAATCTGATGGTCTAGCAGATATTGGAGGAGAAAAAAGAAGCCTTCTGTGTCCCACCCAGGGGAACTATTTATGGCCTATCTGTTGTTGCCAACCCCCTGAGTGGGCTGATCCGTCCTTTGCTAGTCAGGAAAGGTGAGTCAATTGCCACAAGTTCTTCACAAACACATGGCAATACCTTTGCTCTTTCTCACCCCTGGTCAGGACTGTGCATGTTTGAGGGATGGAAAGGCAACATCATACATTCCCAGATCCCCTCCCTCTGGCAAGGATATGAGTATCAGGCTCTACTCAGGCATGACCTTCCACCACCCAACTTGTTTTTCAGCAGCCACATTGTTCTCAACAACAACCACAATCCCAGTACAAGTGCTATCATTGTACAAAGGCTGAGCTGTAAAGAAGAGCACAGAATCTTCCCCTCACCAGCACATCTAATAATATCCTTATATCTGTACCCCAGGTTCTGCAAACACTGACCACTGGCATTTGCCCAGACCTCTCACAGGAGGTCCCTTGCCTGAGCTCCTGACAAGATACCTTGCAAGGTCTCCTCATTTGACTCCCTTTTGCAAGCATATAAAAGCCCAGCTTTTCTTTATCACCCACAGACAGTCTTCTCCAACCTGCCTGAACTGAGGTATAATGAATTTTGTGCTTTGTTGCTTTCACATAAGTCTGTCGGGTAGTTTCTGAAAAACATCAATTCTTAAATAAGCTTCTCCTGCACTCACTCTGCCATGTCCCCTTAAATAGTGCTGTCTGTGAATCTCAGCTGGGTTTGGATCACCTATCCTCTCTGACCTTGTGATTGTGTGTGTGTCCACTAACTGAAAAATTGATAAAAATGATGTGGCATTTTTATACAATGGAGTACTTCTGAGTTATAAATAAGGATAAACTTTAAACTATAGTTTCACATTGTGCTTAATAACAAGTCATGATAAGATATTGCAGGAGGTACCTTAAGGGATCCTGCACTCCAAGCACATTCTTCTTTCCCTCTACTGAGGACTAAAAGTCCATTTTTCCTTGATAATCTGGGTCAGTCACCCTGATAATATTGTGAGTCACTTTTTATCTTGTGTCACCAAAGCATAAGGAGACCAAAATGACCAAGGGAATGTCTTAGTTTCCAGTTTAATGATATTATTAATGTACTTCCGCATACCTTCTCTCCTGAAACTAAGACTTCTATGCCAGCAGAGCATAAGGTTTCAGGAGCAGGAAACAAAACTTTTGCTGGGGGATCATTAGGAGTGATAGTGAGTAGTATGGCTGTATCTTCTAAGCTGAATTCCTGGACTTATAAATTCTGGCTGTGGGAAAAACAATACCATACAGTGAGTGATGATTCAAAGTATATAAAGCTTTTGGAAGGCCACTGCCCCAGCTCTACAAGCTATTGTCTCCTAAGTGGCACTATAACTGTGTCTTCAAAAGATCATTTCACCTTTCTTTCAATCCAGCTCCTTCTGAATGGTAAGAAATGAGATGAGAGACTGATGAATTCTATGAGCATGAGCCCCTTGCCTCACCCCTTTGGCCACAAAATGTGTTTCATGGTAAAAGGCAATGTTATCTGGAATTTCATGATGATGGATAAGACATTCTGTAAATCCGTAGATCGTGGTCTGGGGAGAAGCATTACATGAAAGGAAGGCAAATCCATATCCAGAATAAGTGTTTTTCAAATAAGGAGAAAGCACTGCTCTTTCTATGATGGAAGCAGTTCAACATAAGCAACCTGTCACCAGGATCAGAGGACGATCATCCTGGGAAAATGGTACTATATCTGGGACTCAGTGTTGTTCTCTGCTGCTGACATATTGGGCATTCAGCAGTAGGCAGACCATCCTCAGTGATAAGGAATCTATTTTGATGCACAATGCATAACCTTCATCGCTTCCATCATAGCCATATCCACTCTGTTCATCTATCCACAGGGATGGATAAAGAGTTTTACCACCTCCAAACAATGGGTCGTCATATCCACTTGATCATTAAAGTCTATTTCTGCTGAGGTGACATGTTGGTGGGCATTTACATGAAGTACACATATTTTTATACTATTTGCCTATACAGAGAGATCTGTCCACATAAGTCTTCTCCAAATACTTTTGTCACAAATTTTCCATTCATGTTCATTCGAGGTTCCTGATCATTGGCTATATAGCCCATGAATCAGTATACAGTCGCATATGTGGCATTTTTACTTCCACACAAAATGTGCTACTGGAGGTACTGCCAAACCATCTTCCCATTGGGAATATTTCCCTTCACAGTTATCTAGGGATATCCTGGAAAGGGGCTGTCACCCTGTACCTCTCCTCTTGCAGGTGGTGCTTGCAAGATGTGGAGAAAAATCTATAAATCATGCTTCCACTCTTCATCTGCCTGTTCTTCTTCCTGTGACAGATGATCATATGGTACATCCATGGACCACATGTGCATCCTGGGAAACACAAAGCATTATATCAAGAGTAGGAGCTATGAGCATCGGGGAAACTTCTTCATGTAATTTACTTGCTTCCTCTGGACTGTGCTGGTTCAACCATCTTTGTAATATTTCCATTAAATGATGGTCTATTGCTGTGCACCTCCAACTTTATGACTCAGTGGATCAGGTAGTACGCAGCTCATGATGGGCAACTCAGTTCATGAGGTAAACTTGTGTCCCAGGGTCAAACACTCAGTTTGTATTGAAGCCCACTAGTAGTTCAAGAGCTGTTGAGTTAATATAACCCTAAGGTAGGACAGTGAAGTTGTATTGCTGGACTTGCTAGCTAAAAGCAAATTGTTTCTAATAGGTATAATATATAGGCAGGGAGAAGTCATTTGCCAAAGCAATAGCTATACACCAAGTACCAGGATATGCATTAATCTGTTCAAGCAAATCACAGTATAGCAGCTTTAATCAAAGTCACTATTTCTGAATATCCACTGAGTCTGTGGTAATTTCATGCTTTCGCACATTTTTGATTATATAGATCTTGCTTTATCTTGGTCTTAACCATCCAACAGAAAAGTATAAACACGAGGTATAAAACATAAAGCCATACTGATATGCTGAGCTGTAAAATGTTCAAGTCAACAACTTCTGACATTACCAGTCCTGAGGCTAACCCACTACTATTATGGTCTACTGGATTATGTTGGATTATTTTGATGAATTCATGCACCTACAACATTTGAATGGCAACAGAATACCCATCTCTGACAAAACTAAACAAAAAAGGGGATA